ATCTCCCCCTCCCTCCCAGGCTCTCAAACCTGGGAGGGAGGGGGAGATCCCAAGCGGCCGTTTCGTGCGCCGCTGCTCCCCCTCCCTCCCAGACTTGGGGGCCTGGGAGGGAGGGGGAGAAGCGGTGCCCGCGCCGCGTCCACTCGGAGTCTCCCCCTCCCTCCCAGGCTCTCAAACCTGGGAGGGAGGGGAGACTCTGAATGGCTGCGGCGCGGCTTCTCCCCCTCCCTCCCTTCCTCCTAGGCTTGAGAACCTGGGGGGAGGAGGCAGGGCTGGAGATTTGGGGAAGGGGCGGAGTTGAGACGGGGCCGGGGGTGGGGTAATTAAATAAGGGAGGGGGCGGCAAAAATCCTAGAGCTGGCCCTGCTTACAACCCTGGGTTTAGCAGACCAATGCTTAAACAACTGAGCTATCCCTCCCTCCAGGAGTCCTGGCTAGCAGTTTGAGCTTTAACCACTAGAATATGTTGCCTCCTCCCTCTTCTTCCACAGAAGTGCTTCTGTGTTCGAAACATTGGCATGCACTATGGGAGTGTGAGTCCTAAAGTGCACTAACGTACATTAAAGCACACTAGGGAACCTTTAGTGCACACTAGTAGGATCTCTACAAACCAATTAAATGCACAGTATGTTAGTGCTCTTTAAAAAAAGTCATGCCCCCACACTGCACGTTATCCAGCTAGGTAAACAGCCCTAGATGAAGGTGAAGTCATAGTTTTTCTTGGTTAGGAGAGGCAGAAGGTCTGGTTAGTGAGGAGCTTTCCCTGGTGATAAAGAAATAAGAACCAGTCCCAGTTAGGTCATACTGGCCTGAAAATTGAAGTAAAATCGGTAAATATTATCCTGGTTCCATTCCAGAAAGTCACACACGTCAACCTGGGGTCTAGCTGGGCTCATCATCAGGACATCATGTGTTGGGCCAACGGATCTCTGATCTTTCCATTCTCTGGACCAATTCATATCCCATCAAAGCTTCTCTCTCCTCCCTGCCCCCCTTCCCCCCACATTGCTCAGTTTTATGCTGCGGGACAACCCGGAATAAAGGGCTCTGCAGAGCTCAATGGCCTGAGAAACACTGGCTCAGCCAACAAGGTCCACACTAGTGTCAGGATAACAGAGGCAAGCAAGCCAGCCTGGGGTGAGAGGAAGGGAGAACTAAGGCTGGGGTTTGGTGTTTAGTTAAAGGGGTGAGTGCCTGGGAAGCACCAAGATGTACCTTCTGTCACTGCTCTGGTAACCGTATCGCAGTGAATGTCCATTGTCTCCTCCGGACCTGTCAGCCTGAAGACCTCATCACAGGGACCTGCAGCCGGGACAACGAGGAGCGTCTCGATAGCTGGGGAGGGAAATGGCAAAGCCTCTTGCTGCAAGCGCAAGGCAGGTTTGGAGCTCCATTCTCTCTGAATCCCACCACTCCCCACCCCTTTCTCCTCACCTCCATTTCTCTGTGTTTCCCTGAGCCCCTCTGGCTGACCTATGATCTATCATCCCTGCGTCCCCATGAAGATACCACTGTTCCAAGAGGCAGAAGGCAACTTCTCCCTGCTGCCTCACCTCTGCGCTTTAGCAGGGGGAAGCAGCAAGAAGGGGTTTTGCTGGGGCAGGGAGTGAAAGGAGGACGCAATGGCAGCTGCCTGTGGCGACAGGAGATTGGCATTGCTTTTAAAACCCTCTCAGGCAGCTGCCATTGCTGCAAAGCCCCAGGGCTGGGTTTATGGGTGGCGGGTAGCATAGGCCGGGGAAGGCTGTGCCTCCCCAAACACCCTGGAGTGGGCCCACCCATGCTCCGTCCCCAGGCCCACTCCTGCCTGCTTCCAGTTCCCTACCCGCTCTTCCGTGGCTGAGGCAGGCAGGCTGGGACCAGTGCTCACAAGGCCCAGGGCTCGGGACACTGGGGCGGGGTCCATGCCACATCACGCTGCCTGCCCTTCCGCCCGGTGCTGCAGTTGGGGGCGCTCTGGGGCTGGGGCAGCCTGGGGGGAGGAGGGTTGCTCTGGGCTGCAGAGGAAGAGAGGGGGTGGAATGGGAGGGACGGGTCTTGGGCAGAGAGGGAGGGACCGCGGGCTAGCCTCTCTCAATGTCTCGTTCACCTGCCGCCCATGGTTCGGTTATAAACCCTGAGAGAGGGTCAGCGAGGCAGCAGTGGAGGAGAATACTTGAAAAAAATGAGTATAACCCCCTAACTCACAGCCACCTCCAAGTGATGTGGGAGCCTCCCATCCACCTCACCCATAGACTCTGTTGTCAAGTTCTGGGTCTTCATCTCCGGGGACCTCAAAGCAGCCGACAGTGCAGCCAATTCCACACTCTGCAGGAGGAACGTCACGGCAGAGGCCACCTCCCTCTTGCTCTCATTCCCACCAGCACTGAGAGTGGAGTCATTCAGGAAAGAACCAAAGGGGCCAGCAACTTCCTGGGATTGGGAAAGGAAACACCCTGAGAAGGAGGGAGGATTTCAGTGGTTCATGATACATTCTTCAGACTACCAGGGGAACAATGACCCCTCTTAGGGACATATGGGTTCATAGTGACCTTCCCCACTCACAGGGACTGCAGCATTCTCAAAGAGGGAGCCCTTTACAGAGCGAGTGAGGCTACTGATGCTTGCTCAGGACTCCACAGTAAGTTGAAGCCAGGGTAGGGCTAACGCCCTGTGTCATTCCCTCCTCATCCCTGGTCCCTTCAGTGTACGGGCCAGAGAACATTGCAACAAATCGGCAGACATCTAGGTTCTCTCTGTGTTATCCCCGGAAGCAATTTGGATCTTCCTAGGACCAGTGGGGACAGAACCCAGATCCCCTGCCACTTAAGCTAGAGAGCATGGGCACACACTCCCCTTTTCTGAAGAGCAGCTACAATTTCTCCCAAAGTGAGACTGCTATGCCAGTGCTCAGGACATTTGGCCATAGAGTGCCCACACATAGGGGCAGAACCTCTGACCTGCAGCGATACTGCTCTGTCCTGGGCATACATGGTGTCCAAATTCACTAAGGTTGATTTCATGAAGGAGCAAAATTCACTGGTGCTGCCCTGCAGAACAATCAGAGGAAATGGGTTATTTCTGAAAGCATGGAAACGCCACCCAAAATTAAGGTTAATGGTTCTGCAGAGCGATGTTGCTTTGACCTATGGCTGGCTGGGTGTCCCACTGGAATGCTACAGATTACGACATGTTAAGACTAAGTGCGGTGAAGCCCACAGACACGCTGATATTTCACATAGTTTTGAAGCTTTCATTCATATTAATGAATTTCTCCTTCCCTTCCTAACAGGGGTTTGTAAGGATTATTATCCTCCTTCTACAAGTGGGGAACTGGTGCACAGAGAGAGTGAGATTGCCCAAAATCACACAAGGAGTCTGGGGCAGAGATGGGAACTGAACTCTGACTTCCTGAATCTCTGGCTGGTGCCTTAACTGCAGAACTCTGATGTATAGTATGTGGGGGCGTCACACACCTAAGCATGATACGGTCAAGTTTTCAGAAGCACTTTGTGTTGGACTGATTCTGCTCCCACTGAAGTCAGTGGTAAACCCTGGATAAGCTGAGAATCTTCAGGCTCAAAGTTTTCTGTGTACAATTTGTGAAAACCCTCAAAGCCCAAATAAACCCCTTCGACGTACCTGCAGAAAGACATCTTTGCACATCTCCATCTGCTCTTTTATTTGTGGAGTCTCAGTCAGGGATTTAAAGGGTATATCTAGCAACAGAAAGAGAGGCAGGACAATTACATCAGGTCAACATCTGCAGGGCTAAGGTTTTCAAAAGTGTCTCATGATCGGAGACATATTAAAAGGGCCCTGACTTTCAAAAGTGCTGAGCATTTACCCTCTGAAAATCAGGCCCCTGTAAGGTCTCAGGTTAGACAACCAAAATCACAAGGCAATTTTGAAAACCTTGGCCTATGTGACACACCTAAGGCCACATACACACGGACTCTAGGACAGAGCTGGGAATGGACGCTTGATCACTTGAATCCTAGCCTAGCATTTTAGCCACAAGGGCCGTCCTTTCTTCCTACCAGAATACAAAGTTGATGATCTACCTAAACACAGCAAGGGTTTTCCCCCTTTAACTCCATTGATCCCTTAAGCCCTGTCTATCTGACAACTTTCAACTGAGTCTCTAATCAGTTAGCAATACATTCGGCCCTAAAAGCCTGGTGTGTGTCCACACATCACCTGGTTAATACTCACTTAAGCTTTGTGTATCTCATTGATCACTGTGTGTTATGTGTCCTCTAGGGGCTGGTCCACCAAGGGTCTGGTTCTGCTATAGCTCCTAGCTATGGGAGCTCGTCCCTTAGCTCAAACAGTAGTGTGTTAAGCAGTTACAAGGTCAGAAACCACTTCTTGGTGGGGTGGATTAACTACAGTGACAGAAAAACTCCTTCCGCTGCTGTATCAAGTGTCTACACTACAGTGCTACAGAGGCACAGCTGCAGTGCCGTAGCTGTGCTGCTGTCACTGCTGTAGTATGGACACAGCCGGAGTAACTGTGGCTAGTGGTGGCCTAGGATGGCGTCTTGGGCCAAATTCTCAGCTGGTGTAACTCAATGGAGCTCCATCAAAATCAACAGACTTTACACCAGGCCCATGGTTGCCTCCCTGGTTGTGACACTGTTTTCTTTGCAGCATGGACACAAACTGTGGTCAAAATCGATTTAAAACCCATGCTACTCACTCTTCCTGCAGGAACCCGGAATCCCATAGCTGTCCATGGCGGCAGTGCCAACACTCAGGAGCGCAAATGGAGAGCTGGGATGTTCCACAGCATGGGATCTGATGGCAGGTGCAAGCGTATGCATGCCCCAAATGAACTCAGTGCCAGAGACTCGGTTCCACACCACATCCCTTACAGGCTGATTGTCTAGGATGATGGCGCCAGTCTCTGATGTATTGGCCACCATCAAGGCAAAGTTCTCGAAGCCCTGCTGGGCATGTATAGAATACATCCGGCAGTAACTGGCAACATCTGGAACATTCATCAGGAAGGCGTGGGAGGAATTAGGGAGAGCTGCGCCCACGCTGTAGAACACCACCTGGATGCCCACATTAGCAGAGATGTAGACTGGGATCGAGGGCTTGACAGGACGCTGGAGTACACTGCCTCCTGCTAGAGTAACAGTCTCTGCCTGTTCCCCTACTTGATACAACATAGTTGTGTTCCGGGAAGCAGTGATGTAGACTATTTCATCTACTTTCTGCCAGGGTAAGGGAGGAATGATGTATGTTGTACCCCAGCTGCAAACTGGCAGGAGCTGCTCAAAGACATGGTTGCATTTTGTGTTATCAAAAAAACACACCTGGCCAACCAAGACAGCCACTGGCTTTTCTGAGACAATCCTGGTGCCAGACAGATCGGCTATGCCTTGTAACTGGATGCCTTGGAAAGCGCGGAGCTTAATTTCCAGTTTGGTGCCAGTGGAGTAGATCTGTGTTAGGTAATGTAACTTGCCTTTCACATGGACCTCCACCGAGTTGGGCTCTTGGTACGTCACAACAGAGAACTCTGGGTAACTATCTAAGGATACTGTAGAGGGAGTCACTATGTAGTGTTCATTTCCCAAGCTGGAGACAGGATACAGCACAGTGGTCTCAGGGCTCACATGTTTGTTGCTGACGGACACTACTGAGATATCTTTGTCAGCCTTGACTAGGACCACATTGGAGAACTTGGTAGTGCCCTTAATTCCAACTGACTCTGGTAGGCTGACCCACACCATCTCTCCCTGATTTACCATAATCTTCTCCTCAAACCTTCCCCCATCACCCGTGTAATTGGAGATGGAAACAGACACTGAAGTGAAGGCAAAGTAGCCAGTAATTTGCACTTCAAATTGACTAGAGTTCCCAAAGTCCGCCATGTAGGAGGTGATGAATTCTCTTCCCAGAGTCTCAGTCTGACATGTGCCTGAAAGGAAAAATAGCAATAAAACATTGCAGCTGGAGAGGTGGATAGAGTAAAAGGGACTGGATCAACTTTGTTCAGGCCCAGTAAAAAAAAAAAGGAGCTTGAAAATCTTAATGCAGCTAGAAAATTTTCCCCATTATATTTTTAATCTAAATTAAAATAATTTTTTATTAATAGTAAACATTATTTTAAATAATGAACAAGCACAACTTAGACAGCTAAGAACCCAACAAAGACCTTGGAACCAAACACGACTTCAGGGAATGTTCCAATCTGGATCAGAACTCCATGATTGTCCCTGATCTCTATAATAGTTCAGAACCAGAATCCTGGATCCAAACACTCATGGAAATACAGAAAAACTTCAGATCCAGATGCTCACTTAATGATTTGGACTCAGCTCTAAGAATAATTGTTTGCCCTTCCCCAGCATCTCCTGTCTAAGCTCAAAACACTTTACAGACAGACATTAAATAATTCTCAGTCCCACCAGGAAATGGGTCAATGTTACTGTCCCCATTGCACTGATGGGGAAACTAAGGCACAGAGAGGGTTAGGAGCTTGCTCAAAGTAACCCCACAAATCAGCAGAAGAACTAAGAATAGAACCCAAGTTTCCTGACTCTCAGTCTCTTGTGCTCTAACTGTTAAAACCTACAACCCTTCCCAGCACTGGGAATAGAACTTTAGTCTGTTGTGTTGATAAGGGTAGGTGCCTTGGGCCTATTGGGCTGAGGTGATAATAAAACCCTTTTGTACTGTTACAACATTAAACACATAAGTGTGGTTTGGGGTCTTGTGTTAAGTTATCACTGGCACCTTCTCCTGTTGCAACCACCACCATTAAATACACACACACACACACACACACACACACACACACACACACTAGTTTAGGGCAGATCGACCCAGGCAACCACCGTGGGGTGCCTGGCTTCGAGGGGCGCCGGGCTTGAGGTGCTTGTTTTTATTGTTAGTGACAAAATGGAAACCCGAACGTTTGAAGTACAATGTTTCAAGTATTCCGTATGTGGATTCATTTTTCACTAGCCTCCCAGAATGTTCTGGACCTTTATAGGATCTCATGGAACCTTACAGATTTTCTGAGAACTACATTTTCCTCC